TCCAAGTATTCCTTCACATTTCTTTGCACCTTATGTTACTTTCGTTCAAGCAAACGCTCAGCTGCCTCTGTAAACCCCTATTGCGAAATGTTGGAGTTGACAGAGACCGCCGCCATTTTGGTCCCGCTTCAAATTTTTGATTGTTAATATCTTGAGTTTGGATTTATCAATTTAAAAACAAATTATATATTCAGCCTAATTTAAAACGTTTCTATAAATCATACCAATATAATTCGAAAATATTGAAAAAACAAAAAGTTAGAAAATTCGACTTTTTAAATTCCCCTGCCGTAACGACAGGAAGTAGAGACGACGTACAAAAGATCGCGTCCTGGAAAGTACTTATCACGATCTATAATCCCTGAAAGTTTCACAGTGATATCTTTTACCGTTCTTGAGATTAACCACGGACAAAATGTCATTTCAAAATCAGAAAATTGTCCGTAACTTGGCACCAGAAAAGAGTTTCCAAAAACCTCTCGGATAAAATAACTTCAGATAACAACACATTGTTCCTGTAAATTTCATGAAAATCCATCCAGTAGTCTTCGAGAAATCGCGTGCACAAAATTTGATGGTCAGATAAAAAAATAAGAAGAAGAAGAAGAAACAGTAGAATCACTATAAGGTCTTCCGTGAAGACGGAAGACCTTAATAATAAGAAACAGTAGAATCACTATAAGGTCTTCCGTGAAGACGGAAGACCTTAAATAGTTTTAAAGAATTAAAAAAAAAAAAGAAAAACAAAAAATAGATTAAGGGTAAAAAAGACTTCGGAGCTCTTCTAATATTCAAATTTAAACTAGCTGACAACTCAGCTGTATGCTGACGAGATGACCAAAGTTATAATCCACTATCGCTTTCATTTGTCTTTATCTTTCAACTGATTTGATACTTACGAGAATGGTTAAAAGAAATTAATTTTTAACCTCAATCAAACTACTGATAAATAAGTTGATGTTGCAAGGATTTCTACCTCATTTAACGTCAGCATTTCATAAAATCTATTATCGTTATAATGATTGTTCAGATTATTGCTCTTTTAATTAGGTCAAAGATTTTTGAACGTCTGTAATGTTTCTTTAAAAACTTTTTGTAAGAGAGAACACAGGTACATTGACGTAAAAGATTAAGGGGTGGCCAATGTAAGAACATAATCTTTCAAAACTTCCTTGAGGAAAATGATGCTACAATTTACCATCTATAGATGACAAGTATTTATTTTTCCGAATAAAAAAAACAATCGTGAATTACAGGTAGTAAGAGCTTGAAGAAGTTCTGTGGGCTCCAGGAACCCGAGATTATTAGTGCCAGGAATCTTCTGGATGTGGTATTTGTCTCGGACCTCATGGTAGAGACGAAAGGAATGAATTTTTCCTATGTCGCAGGTAGATGCTATATCTAAATTGAGAAGAACACTAGATTTTAAGAGCTCATTTCATTTTAGATGTTAGTAAGAAAATATTTAAACTTTTATTTACAGGTCCTAACTTTACAATTTCCTATCAAACAACTACTGAAGAACCACCGAAAAAGAAAACAAACAAAGTGGCCATATTTGCGGGCATTGGGGGCGCGGTGTTATGTTCTGTGATATTTTTTATCGTCTTGTGTGTATGTCTGTCTACAAAACGCTGTGGTTGTCCATGTAGAAATAATACTACCCGGACAGTAGAACCATTTGATAACCGACAGAGGAGCCATCAACCAATAAGCAGGACGAATTCGATTTTCACACACCACCATATGGGGAGGAGTGTAGGTTCCCTCCCCACGGAGGATGACATTATATCCTTACGGGTCTTGTCTCCCCCACCCTACAGCTCTGGCCCTCCCCCCTCTATAGACAGTCCCACTAATTCCTCTTCCCCACCACCACCGTATTCTTTCAGTGACCCTAACCCCGAGGCGGGTCGGACGGACAGTTTACCGAGCTACCCAGGAGAGGTTAGTCGGTACTGACGCAATACATGTAGCTACGATTCTGAAGCAAGAAATCAATTGTGTTCAAGCAAAGGTTCCGTCCATATTGTTTATTTGTGCCAAAAATATATTTAAACTTTGACAAAAAAGTAATGTAATTCCGCAGAGGAATTCCAGTGTATTGAAGATATTCTTCATATATTGATTTTATACATAAGCCTGACCTACAATATATCGCCATTTTTTTGGTCACGTATACACATTTTGTGAATCAACAAATACTTTGTTTGGAAGGCCTAGCGTTTTAGAAACGAATGCATAAAACGAATGCATAAAATGGCAAACTTTGACATACTCTTATATGTAATTAACTTATTAATCAAATGATTTACTATCTCTACTTTACTTTACAAAAGTTTTATGTTATTTGTTTAACTCGAAAGTTTTTGTCTAAAGCAGGATTGAAATAACTTTAGATATAATTTTTGTATTAAGAATATTTTTAATTTTAATATTCAAGTATATTTAGAGACAAAACATCTGTATGAAAACATTATAATTGTGATGAGACATATATATTCCACAAACAGAAAACTGTGTGACAGTCATGCACTGTCATTAAAAACATGCCTTGTATTTATTTTCAAAGTATTAGATGTACCAAGTTGTTATAAGTATTATCAAATACAAATAAGTTATCATTGACTGGTAAACATCCGCAGGGCGGACGTGTTGTTATAAATCTAATAAAAGAAAAAAACATATTTAATTTTTTTTTCTTTTTGATAAGGAAGCTGTGGTTAATTAGGGTAATCCTGGTGCCAGTAATATTTAAGAAGTTCTTTATAGACTTCATTTTATTTGCAAATAGTATAAATATATCATTTCAAAATTACTATTCTCTTTAAAATAAGCATATTATGACTTCCTTGCCAATGCTTTAAATTAAGCTGTAAAAGTTTAAGTTTAAAAAAAAACATCTTTCTAAAATCTGAGTATCAAGGTATGGCACGACAAATTCACAAAAATATTTTACATTTGTAAACCATAGTTAACGCGATAATTTATGTTTCACAACCGTAAAACTATACTTAACACCGGAAATAATCATTTGCACAGTCGATAAACTAGGTTTGTATCGGATCGTAAAATATAGTAAATATCTCTATTGTTAACGTTTTACGGATAAACTGTAAACTATAGTTAACAACGTTAATCTATATTTTACATTTGTAAACCATAGTTAACGCGATAATTTATGTTTCACAACCGTAAAACTATACTTAACACCGGAAATAATCATTTGCGATCGAAAAACACAGATTATCTGATAAATACAGTTTCACGATTTGTAAACTATGTTTTACAACTTTTAACTATAGTTAACGATCGTAAATTATAGTTTACAGACGTGAATCTATGTTTATCAACAAAATCTATTGTTAACGTTTTATTACAGATAGATAAACTTAGATTAACATTCGTAAACTAAAGTTAACAACCGTTAAATATAGTTTTACAGATGAAAACTATGCTTAACGAATCGTTAACGACGTTCGATCCTGATATTTAAAGTCTTAAACTTTTTTTGCCAAGTATTTTTTTAGTTTCTACATACATAGCTTAATTAAAATTCAAATCAAAAAATGGGGGTCAATACGCTTCTTTTGGCGCTACAGAACATTTAATATGACATTTTTGCACTGAAATTTGTGTCTTAATTAAAAATTATATTTTGACGTTTTCCCTCCTATATTTTTATCTAATTAAAGCATGAAACAAAATGAACTCCAAGTTTGTTTAAAAAAGACACTTAAAAAAAATTGTGACTAAGAAAAAGTTTTAAATTGCTTCGCATAATCAATTATTTGACCTTTCTGCACTGATAAAAAGTGATTTTTCTGGCATTGAAAATTTAATAAGCAAGAAAAATTTTAAAGTCTTAAACTTTTTCTGATTTTCAGCAAATAGGCCAAATTTATCTTGAATATTTAGAAAAAAACATCAAAAGCGGGGGTATATGATGTAAATTTTCAGATATTACTAAAAAAGTGTCAATTTTACGTTAAAATTGGCTAAATTTTTTCCCGGATTTTCAGAATATATTTACTATATTTGTCACACTTTGTTGATAGAATTCATAAGAAATAATTTAATAGATATTTCAGAACCAAAGTAACACATTTAACTGCAAAAAACAGCTTTTTGTGCAACCAGGAAGGAAAAATAGGAATCCAAAATTAACAGTACTGTTATAGTTCAAAATGGAAAAATTGATCATTTTCGTCTAAAAACCCTTCCGCCACAAAATATAGTCCCTATCTTAATTCTACTTGAATGGAATTTAATCGCTGTTTTTTCATTGAATACAGTTAAATTTGCACTGTAGAATTCAAATTTAATGTTAGAACTTAAAAATGATGCAGAATTTTATAAATAAAGGACCTGACCAAATTACGCTCAAAATCTCAGGATCGAACGTCCTTTACTATAGTTTACGGTTTGTAAACTATAGTTTACAGTCGATAAACCTAGTTTATCAATTGTGAAACTAGGTTTAGCTCATTTTTGTGAATTTGGCGTTCCATATCAAGGCTTTCTCCAAGATTTATTTGAAACAAGAATTTCGAGACCAGATGTGGGGTATTTGTTTTTCTGATTAAATTTTTTTCTTTAACAAAAACCTTAAAGCCATCATTATCAAAAATATTTTCTTTTGTTAACATTAAAAGAAACCTACATCAGTTTTGACATTGAGACTCATCAGAGTGGCTACCATACAAAATATATACAAGTGAAAGTCTTATTCAACTTTTATCTTGATGTTTTTATAACATGGCAACAGTGTAACAATGAAATATAGAGATACCGAATTTTTCAAGCTCAAAATCCATTTAATCAATACAAATAAGAAGCAGAGCGACAAAGACTTCTGAAACAACGTCAAAGGTAGGATAAGTTCCATGGAGGAGTAAGCATCTCACCCGCCGTGTGCTCCTTGTCATGCTCGGGATAAACAGAAAAATCTGTGAAAATATGGCCTAAAAAGTATGAAAACATTCATCAGCTTTTGACTTAATGGTAGATTGTATTTGCTGACAAGGTCATTGTATTCACCTTAGGACTTGCGAAATGATGACTTTTAGCTGCTCCCACCACCGCTAGTGGCTTGAATACTGTTCGTTATGTAATCTCCATATTTCTTTAAGAAAATTTAAATAAATTCTGCTTCATAGGAATATAAAAACAGGTCGGCTAATAAAAGAGCATTACACTTAGTTTGAAGACCTAGTCTCCAAAAACGACATAGATTTTGTCAATGGGGAACTCCAACATCCTTTAGATATCAACTTTAGAATACTTTTTTGTGGATTGAGTGATTTTTAACAAAGTCATTTTGTTTATGGCCAATCACAAGATATGAAAATTTCCAAGATACGTTTCAATTGAAGAGGCAGTTGTTTATGATATCAAAAAGAAAAAAAAAGTTTTAATTTATAATCAGAAATGATAGCATAAAGTGTAAAAAGATCGTATTTTTATGTAACTGACTTTAAAAAATTGGTGATTTTAAATTTTCTAAATGTTGCTTGAAGTTTAGGAATTCACTTCTGAGAATGATTTAGCAGAGTGTAGCTAAAAATTCTTCTTCCAGTAGTAACTTCTAGTAATATTGTGAGGAGTAAAGATACGGGTGTGGTAGAGCAGTTGCTGGATAAGTCAATGTATAAAGATTAAAATGAAGCCAAGGAATCAAATATAAACAAGGGAAGGGTTACCTAACAAAAACACACAAAATCGTCTATTGCTTTATGATAATAACCACTCTTTCATGTTCATGTGTTTCCTGATTAAGATATCTGTCTTTGATGTTAAGCTTACATTGATGTTTTCTATAACTTAATTTTATTTTTTGACTTTAAATCACATGAGTACAGATTTATACATATACATGTAATGGTATTGGTATAAAATAAATTTCCAATCCTAGTGCTTTACATTGCATCAGAAAACGACCTGTGTATTTTTCTACATGCTTGTAGTGGTTTGTTGACGAACGCCTAAATAAAGAAGCAGGTCCTTTCATAGTTCTTTTCAAACTGGGGATGAACACACTGAGCAGAAAAGATTAGGGCACAGTGAAGTTTGAAAACAATATATTTTTTAAAGGAAACAAAATTATTTCTCCAGCAATGATGAAATTGTGCACATGAGTAAAGTTAGTGGTGGTCTAAGGAGGAAGAAACTTCGATATTTATTGAAAGTAACAATGTCCGGTAGAATATCACATGACATTTAAAGGTATCATTAGAAATCTCACTCCAAGACCATTGAAATTCTAAAGTGACTATCTGATGTATATGTATCGGTTGCTTGAATTTGTTTACTTGCCAACATATTACAGCCAGGTTTGCTTTGAAGAATTGTTACTTGATTAATAGGCATAGAACAGGTGAAAAAACACCATTTTATTAACGTTAAACAATGCTGGAAAGGACTAACAGTAAGCTACTACTAGGATGTTACGTTGCCGATAAACAAAGGACAACAAACAACTGCAATTAGCATTATTACAAATAACCAACAAATAGCTATTATAAGCAATTTGCTTATACAAAACCTTTTTTTTTAATTTACATTGTCCAATATCACAATATTTTGTGAAAAAACAAAAAAGAGCTTTTTTTTATTTTATGGCCACTTTCACTAACAGACACTTACCAGCTTACAGACAGTCTCATTGTCTCATTCTTCAGGTGATTATTATTTTAACAAAATGTTTGAAAATGACATAGGTAATCAAAGATTACAGAGCTCATCTCAACAAATGTTGTCTTTAAGTAAGGCAAAGTCCCGTATTAAAGGGGCTGGGTGGTTGTGGCCATTTTTAGACTATTTTAATCTCTTTTAAAAGAAGAGCTCCATATAAAGATATAATAAAATGATCAAATTTTTAAACTAAAATTTACGCAATTTTTCTTCGCCAAATGATAGTTGACAGCTTAAGATATCTTAAAAAATAACTGAAAGTTATATCTGGTGGTTAATAAAAAATAATTTGTTGACCCCCTAGCCTCCTTAAACTAATAATCTAGTTGTGTATATCCAAAGATGTAACATTTCTTCAATTTGATCTGACAGGGCTCACGGTTACTAGGTCGTGGGAATAGACTTACTAGTATCCAAAACTAGTCACTCATCCAGAAAATGTAATTCAAACCCAGCATCTGAAGCAAGTTTGAGAGTGTTCCTCCCTTGCTGCATCATCCTTGAAAATTTGGTTCAGATAGGCTTTATGGTTTCTTAGAAATAGACATACAATTTTACTAATACAAAAACTTGTAGATTTATATGATAGGTTGCTTTCTTTAGAAATAAAGCAAAATCCAAACAAGAGGTAACGCTAACAATGATGACTTCAAGTTTTACACGCCTGTCTCGTCTGTGCTTTTGTTTCTGAGAAACGGTATACAATGGAGACCTGTAAGAGAGAAACAATCAACTCTCTGAAGTGTTAAAATAATGGACGAACTGATATTAAAATACCTCCTGTAAAAATAAAATGAACGTTAAATAATATCAAACAGCTCGAAATGATCAATCAGAACATCTAGAAATTAGAACAACAGATCTACTTGTTAAAAATTTCTATGAACACAGAGGGAACATATAATCCATAAACAAACACCAAAAGTCTGAGTATGAAACTCTGCACTTCTAGTAATAAAAAGAAACAATTCATCCCTTCATGAAAATTGATTTTGATGATACATACTTAATATCAAAATTACGAAGTTAATATCAAAATCTGTGGAAATGTCACAACAGTTTTGTATGTTTCCATGGATAAGAAATTTATTGACATGGAGACTGTATGACCTATCAGGCAGTTCGGTCATTTACCAATATAAAACCATTTAAGGAATTAATATTTCATTATCGTTTGACTGAGAACAGCACTCACTTGTGGAGAACGATGAGCGACCGCCTGGAGAATAATGGGGTATTACTGTAATGAAATATTTTACCTAATTGTTCTCTTAGATTCTATTTACGGTAAGTCATTATGCTGTGTTAAATATTTTGTTCTTTCTAATACATTTTTCCTATATATCTAGAAAATGTAAATTTTAAATAACTCTTAGAATGTTTAAGGAGAATGTAATGAAATAAGAATAAAAATTCTCTGAATTTTAAACAAAAATTTTAAATAACTCTTAGAATGTCTAAAGAGAATTTTATTAAATAAGAATAAAAATTCTGTGAATTTTAAACAAATTCAACTTTCATCCCTTTCTTTTCCTTATGTTACCGAAGAAAATATCTTCAAACTCACCGTTTATATTTTGCGACATTTATCTTGTGCTTAATCTACTTTTTTATTGCTTGTTTGTTTGAACTAGTTTTGCTAAATAGACTTTTATTTCTAACAAATAAATCCTAATTACAGAATGCGTCCTGCTGCGTACATTATCTGCTGAGCTGACTCCGAAGCAGTTTACTTCTCACTCGAACTACGGCACAGAGAACTATCCAAAGTAAGGAACCAGCAACCACGTCAAGTTGTAATGAGGAAAAGTTATAAAAATGTTTTAGTATTACCTATGGCAACATACTAAATTAATTACTTGGATACATCTTGATTGAAAGATGCGTGGTTCCATCCTCAGGTGGATCCTCCTTCATCGGCTGTTACGGCGCTGTCCAAGGGTGCACCGCCTGGGGTGACCAGGTCCCAGCCTGGAACCACTTGGCTCTATACACTGCTGTTTTTCTGTCTCACTACTGATTATTGACATCACTACTGTTCTATTTTACTGTCTATCTCACTACTGTTTATTGTCAATCCACTTCTCTGCTCTTCTTCTTCACAACCACATGGACGTTGATTCCGCCTCCCTGCACAGACTCCCTATCAATTTCCTTCTCTCTGCTCCCGTTATGCGAATGCCTCTCAGTGCCCTCCGCAAAGACTGCCCCATGAAGCCTTTACAACCCATTTCCTTTGCAAAAAACCAGACCTTCCATCCATTCTGTTGATTATCCTTCAGAAGATCTTGATTTTTTAGATTTTTCCTCGAGATGATGATCGTATGTGTTGTCTATCCCATCATCCCATGGCACTGTTAATTCCAAAGTAATTGTCTGTCTTGTAGCCATTGACAAAAGGATTACATCCGGCCCCTTGTTTGTGGCTATTATTTCAGATGGAAATACTAATCTTTCCTTGAGGTATGCCCGCATCTGCCAACCTGTTTCTGTCCCAGCAGACCACTTTTTTCAACACTAACTTTATGTCCTTTTTTACCTTCTTTCACAAAGTTGACAAATCTGAGACCCTCTGTGTTCTTCTTTGGCTTTTTGATACCTTTCTCAAGGTGTCAGAAATGTTTTGAATGTCAAGTTAAATAAAAGAAGAGAATTACACCACGAAAAATGCTATTTTTAGTTATTAAGTTTATTTTCAGCATAAGGAATAAAGTAACAGAGAATCTCCTTCTTAATACTAGTATTTGTTACATCAATAAAGTTTTTCGTTTCTTATGTTAATTATATGAAAAAAAACCAAGAAAATACAACATAAAAACAAAGAAAACAATATAATACATCGAACTATTTTTTTGTAGCAATTATACTGGTGAATGGCTGCTAAAGTCTACAGGAGAAAACCGAACTATAGTTACCAGTCTACTGGAATGTGAAATCGAGGCTGTCAATAAAAAAGGACAGACGCTGTGTAGCTGGGAATGGGACCTCCTAGTTTTCTATAATGGTATATAACAGCTTTGACTTGTCCATTTTTTCCCCTTCTTCTGTTATAGATAAATTTTCTTTTTTCACATTGTTAGTCTAAATAACTAGGGAAATATTCAAATTGTGTATTTAAAGTCTAGGCATCTTAGCATCAAACAAATGTTTTACTATCAAGCAGATGTTGCAGAATTCTAGCCATTCCATGTCAATTAATTGTAGACAAAATTTACGGCATCCAGGTTGAAAGATTCCTTCAAAAAGCAGAACAAAGAAAATTACATTTTGTGATTGGTCATCTACAAAATAACTTTCAATTGCTAAACATTTTTCTGATCCTCATATGCGGAAGTCCTCCGAAATTAAAACTAATAAGATGCAGTGGTTCCTCATTATCAATAATATTAATTAAATCTTCCCACCAACTGTTGGAATCGATGGGCACTGATATCTTTATTATTATTATTCTGATGATGGACAACATGTCATTTTTCATAACAAAGCATGCATGATGATTCTTTCATCGACACAAAAGAGTTCTAGTAAGGCATGAACTTATTTCTTGTTGCCTGTTATATAATCTGTTGTTGATATAGTTAGTTACTGTTAGTTTATACATACAGCTATTACAATATGATTACAATTAGATAATATACTAATTGGAATCAAAATGTAATAATTGTACATTATTTGCCCCCTGAGGGCACTTGATTGGTAAATAAACATAGCTCACTAGGCAACAAGAAATAAGCCAGTGCCTTACTAGAACGTAACAAATTGACGGATCCATACAATTTTAAAGAAAACGAACTTTTTTCTTTTATTCAGTGAATATTACTGGAAATACTACTGAATACTTATACATTGAGTCTACCTGCTGCAATGGTACACTTGGTAACATCTCCAGTACTGGACCAGAGTTATTTATCAGATTCACAACAGATGACAGCACACCAAAGAGAGGATTCAGAATTTCTTATGAAAGTATTGAATCGCCATCAAACAATACACAAAGTCAATTACAGGGCATAAGAGCAAACGTACAAGGTAAGATAAGACAAATTGGAAGATAATTGGAAATTGCATTCATTTGAGAACTATTCTTCAAACTCTGTGTCTAAAATGTAGATATCTTATAATTAGAAATATAGATCATATTTTTTCAATTAACCAAATTGCATTTTGTACTTAAAACTCCAAATTGTTCAATTCGATTGGTTCTCGTAAGAAATTATCTTTTAATTCATGATTTGTTTTAACAGAGATACAGAGAACATCACTGCGGTTTCTGAAAATTTATTTTCCCCCTTTTTTATAGAGACCGGTTCAAACACCACTGCGGTGGCTGGTGGCGTCGTTGGAGCGCTCGTGTCTGTGGCGGTTGTGATTCTAATTATTCTTTTACTGAGACACGTTGTGAAAAAGAGAGATAAAGCTAAGATCATGGCATCGGGCTAAAAGAATAAAACATTCAAAAATAAAAGATGTTTTATATAAAATATAGATCCTTGAGTTTCTGATTGACAATATCTATGTGGTTTTCAGAGACAAGGTCTTCAAACAGTCTTCGAAATTCCCATGGCTACGAACTGCACCACCCATTTTTGTATTCATATGAAGCAATATTTATTCAAAATCTCAAACATATGAATAAGAAAGCACTTGCTGTGGCCTTCACCTCGACATTTTATTGATATATCGACGACGTATTATCAATTAACAATATTTTTCATCATATGTCAACACGACAGGGAATATTGGGTTTATAAAAATCTCTTGATTTGATAGGCAAGAGCAAACATTTTGTATGAACAATTTCTTAAATGAGGTAAATTATTGAAAGACAAGTTTACTAAATGAGAATATCAACAGTCTTGGTTAAAGTCATCATTTAGTAAGTTTTGTGGTCGATAAAATGACCTTGTCAGCAAATATACAATCTATAATTGATTCAAATGCTGACTGACATTTTTCATAATAATTATTAAATCATTCCGAAATGTCGACGTTTTTTTTATATTTCTCAATATGACAAGGAGCACGTGATCGGTCGGCAGAGGATGCTTATTCCTCCATGGCACCTGATTCCGCCACTGATGTTTTAGAGGTCCGTGTTTTCTCGGCTCCTGATTTGTATTGTTTGAATGGACGCTTCGAGTTTGAATATTCTGCTCGTCATTTCCATATACGAGGGGCGTTCAATAAATAATGTCATTTGGGCTCGGAAAGAATAAAAAAAACGCTTTTCTATGATTTAGTCTGAATGATTTAACTAAAATATTCTCTTTTAATTAAAACACATGCCCGTAACATTTTTATTCAATTTCTAATTGTTTTAGGTCACATTTTTGAGTATGACACTTAGTATACTGGAATATGGAAGATCCTATGATTTGCTGTACGAGGGGTGTTAGAAAAGTTCGCGGACAAGTTCTGTTGTGAGCGTGCTATTTCCACGAAACCGGTCAAACTTTCCAGATAAAATCTTAACCTATTTTCCAATAAATATACAAAAAATTGGTGCTCTCGTACTTGTTTTTTTCTTTCTGATAGATGTTTATCTAAGTTTGGGAAATGACACAAGTCAATGGTTGAAAGATCTGGCAAAATTTGTTGGTGTGACAAAACATTAACTTTCTGTCTATCCCCAAAACTCCTTTACTCTTCATGGCCTGTGGGTTTGGACGCTGTCAAGAATAAATTTAATGTAGTGGATTACTCATTCTGTTTCCTTCCTCTCATAAACCTTTAATTTTTTTTGCAAAAAAATTGTTTTCTAGACTCCCCCAGAAATTGAACTTCTTCCCCGAATATGAATTTGAACAATAAGATTACTAAATGTTTTAGAAAAAAGCATATAAAGCCGATTTTGTGCTTTTGCAATTCTTTGCTCTTTTTAAGCCTTTGAGGTTTGTCAAGTGCATCTTATTGTAAATTTGTTTTGAGGGTTTAAAAGCAAAATGGATTCAAGTTTCATTATCTGTTTGAATTTCAGACAAACGTGGATAAGAACAATTTTTGATTTTTTAAAAGAATTGTTTAGATATTCCTACACGCCGTCGTGTTCACTCATTTTTCAAAATATTGGGTGACCTTTCAGTGTTAAACGTTTTTACCCACCAAATGTTTCTTTACAACAGTGTGAACTACCCCCAAAATGATTTCTATCAATTTTGCTATGTTTCTGTCAGTGTCTTAAAGTCAATAAAACATAATCAGTGATAATTTGTTGAATTTTCGCAAATATGCATTGGTTGTTGTAAGTCCTTGTTGCCAAGGACGGTACCCATTTTTGATGCCCATTATATAATTTTTGTTAATTGAAATCCACTTGTTCACGTGTCTATAAAACAGACAATGGTTGCTGTAAATTTCACATACTTCAGGTAATATATTTTTGGGATATTAACAAGTTTTACAGCTGATTTAATGAAGCGTTTAATTTTACTCTAGTTTACTGATTCTTGACCATTCATTTTTAATGCAGTGTCTCGAATAGCCCTTGTTTTCCAGCTTCCCACAATGAAATAAAATTGGTCACATAAACTGTTATCAATTCATTAAAGACTCAATAATGAGAGAAAGTCAAGTTTAATGTCATATGATTTCTATGTTGTATGTCATCGAGCTAATGACATTATTTATTGAACGTCCCTCGTATTTCATTTATAAAAAAAAATATTCATATTTTTTAACGTAATGACTATACGTACAGCCATGTGTGTGAAGGGAGGGGTGGGGGTTAGAAACAACACTGTGACAGAAACTTGAGTTTGAATTGGATTTACATGTTTATACCTTCTATTTGGAAGTTCTAAATATTCGTGTGTACACTGCAATGTAGAAATGTCACACACAGTCATAAAGTACACATATGTATCTAGGAATAAAATATTTGAGTAAAAGAGTACTGCTTAGAGAATGAAAAATGTACAAATACAAATATTTTTGGCGCAAACAAAAATTACAACAAGCAAATTCAAAGAATTATGGTCCCCGCTTTAGGTGTTGTCTTTGTGGGTCGGATGTCATTTTTATGACATATTTTTTCAAATCTTGTCACATGTAATGCATATGGCATATATGAAATTTAAAGCCCTTTCTCTTCTCAATCCAAAGATATATAGAAATGAAACACCGATGACCCCGTATGGCAAAATAGCGAAGATTAAACTTTTCTTAAATATATTGGTACCCAAGGTAGGGCCATCTCACAGGAAATACGATTTTGAAATATGAAAGCCCTAGCACCATCTGTTCAAAAGTTATGGTCAAGGATAAGTTTTTGAAAGGTTGGTCAAATTCCATGGTCAAAGGGTCAAAGTTGTTAGTTTCTTAAGAAAGGTCTTGCCACAAGTATAAAAAGATGAAGTAGGAAAGCCCTTGCCCGAACCGTTCAAAAGTTATGGCCAAGTTAAACATTTTAAAAAGTAGGTCAAACTCCAAGGTCAAGGTCAAAGGGTCAAAGTTCTTTATACCCAATGATAGGTCTTGCCACAAGTATTACATAAGTGAAGTACGAAAGCCCCTGACCGAACCGTTCAAAAGTTATAGTTTTTTCATAAGTACTGAAATCTCCAAGATCAAGGTCAAAAGGTCAAAGTTATTGGTATCCAATGAAAGGTATTGCCACAAAGAATACATATGTAAAATATGACAGCCCTAGTATCTACTTCAAGGTCAAAGGGTCAAAGTCCTTTATACCCAATGAAAGGTCTTGCCACAAGTATTACATAAGTGAAATACGAAAGCCCCTGACCGAACCGTTCAAAAGTTATGGCCAAGGTTAAAGTTTTTTCATTAGTACGGAAATCTCCAAGATCAAGGTCAAAAGGTCAAAGTTATTGGTATCCAATGAAAGGTATTGGCACAAAGAATACATACTAGTATGTGAAATATGACAGCCCTAGTATCTACTGTTCAAAAGTTTTGGCCAAAGTAAGAGTTTAAATTTTTTGTGTAAAAGTGGGTCAAACTCCAAGGTCAAGGTCAAAAGGCCAAATTTGGTGAAACCCAAAGAGAGGTCTTGTCACAAGAAATACACGTGTAAAATATGAAAGTCATAGCTCTAATAAATCAAAAGTTATGAGCAAGGTTCAAGTTTTTGTGACGGACGGACAGACAGCTAGACAGACGGACAGACGAATGCGATTTAATGCCCCTCGCTTTCGCGAAAGCGGGGGACAATAATTGGCAAAGGCAGAGTACATAAAATTCGTCATATGCATTTAAACAATATTCTGGTATAAAATTAATTGAGGTTATACATAATTTATACATAAATTATACAATGACTTCAATGTACAAAAAAGCAAATTCAAAGAATTGTGGTCCCCCGCTTTCGTTGTCTTTGTGGATGAGATGTCATTTTTTTATGACATATTGTGTCAAATATGAACGCCCTATCAAATGTCATTTAAAAATTATCACTGAAGTTGATTTTTTTTTAAAAAAAGGTTAGTCGTGAAGGTCAAGGTCAAGGGATCAGTAATCATAGCACCTTCGGAAATATCTTGTCACAAGTAATGCATATGTCAAATATGAAAGCCCTATCTCTTCTCAATATAAGGAACAAGACGTGTTTGTGAAAAATCGATGACCCATATGGCAACAAAGCGAAGATTAAACTTTTCTTAAATGCAAATTAAATATATTATTACCCAAAGTAGGGTCTTCTCACAAAGAAAAAAAAAAAAAAACGTTGTGAAATATGAAAGCCCTAACACCACCTGTTCAAAAGTCATGGCCAGGGATAAGTTCTTTAAATGTACGTCAAACTCCAAGGTCAAAGGGTCAAAGTTGTTGGTTTATGAAGAAGGGTCTTCTCACAAGTATTAAATATGTTAAGAATGAAAGCCCTAGCCTTAACCGTTCAAAAATTATGACCAAGGTAAAAGTTTTTTCATAAGTACGGAAATCTCCAAGGTCAAGGTCAAAAGTTCAAAGTTGTTTGTAACAAATGAAAGTTCTTGCCACAAAAAATACATATAAATGTAAAATACGAAAGTCCTGTAATCCACTGTTCAAAGGTAATGGCCAAGGTAATAGTTTTTAAAAAGTAGGTCAAACTCCAAGGTCATAGGGTCAATGTTCTTGATATCAAATTAAAGGTCCTGTCACAAGGATCACATATGTGCAGTTTGAAAGCCCTAGCCCTAACCTTTCAGAAGTTATGACCAAGGTTAAAGTTTTTAAAGACTAGGTCAAACGTCAAGGTCAAAGGGTCAGAGTTCTTGGTATCCAAGGAAAGGTCTTTTTACAAGGATTACATATGTGAAGTATGAAAGCCCTACCCCTTACCGTTCAAAGACTACGGCCAAGGTAAACGTTTTTTCATAAGTACGGAAATCCCCACGGCCAAGATCAAAAGCTCAGACTTGTTGGTACCAATGAAAGGCCTGTGAAAGGCCTTGCCACAAAGAATGCATATGTGAAATATGAAAGCCCTAGTCCTTACC